TCTTTCTTTCTTTCTTTTTTTTTTTGGAACCAGGGATTGAACTCAGGCCCTTGTGCTTGCCAGGGAAGCACTTATTCCACTGAGCCCTCTCCCCGGCTCCCAGGCTTCCCTTCCTGATAACCTTCTTGCTCTTGAATTCTCCCTTGAAATTGATTGTGATTTCCATAACAAGTCATTTTGCTTCTTTACTCAGACTCCAAACACAAAGCTAAGAATCAACAGTATACTAAAAATAGATATTACCATTGGCATTTACAGATGGTAAGTTGCGATTGCATTTAGATGACAGACACCGCGAAGAATGCAAGGATTAGAACGTGGGTTTTCCTGACAGCATTTCTTACACTGCGCAGGAGGCAGGGCTCAGTGCCCAGCGCCTACACGACAGAGCTGTTTTTGCATTCCAGGTGCAGCAACTGCGCTCTCAATCACAGGTCAGGCGCACCCACAGAAAGGAGAAAGGATCCTACGGGAAGTTCTATTGTATTTTAATGGCCCCGGGAACACCGCTGAATTTCAGTTAAAAAGAAATATAACTACCTCTTCACGAAAACAGGCTTCCGGCTCTGGAACCGCGCAGCACTTCTCCACCCCGCTGATGAAACGTGCCAGCACAGACAGCAGCTCCTTGTCAGCGAGCTGAGGCCGCAGCCTCACCGCCTCGATAAGAAACCTGTGGCGCAAAGGTATCACGTGGAGCTAACTGACGATCTTGTTCTGAAGTTCCTCTTCTCTACAGTGCTTGTTAAGGTATCAAATGTTTTCATTCTCAACTAGGGTGAGTTTAAAAGGTAAAAATATTGAAAGAATTTTCTAAAATTTTTATGTTAAACTTACAGAATGGACTCTTTGAAGCATTAGGTAATCAGAGACAGAATTATACAAAAACAGGAACATGTGTTAGGTCTTCGTTATGCATAGTAGAATGCATGACTACATTTTATCTGTCTAGAAAATTCACGTCCATAACAACTCCAGCTCCCTCCTATAATAGCTGAATAACGTTTCCACTACACTTGATACAGATGTTATCTAAATAGAATGAAAACAGGTCTTACTGCTTTGGCTTTGAGAGAATGAAATTAAAATTCCTGCCCCTTTGGGCATTTCTTTTTTTTTTCTTTCAAATACTAAGAGCAATTCTCAGGACAGATTTCCACATGTTCTCTCCTAAAAATACAATTCATTTTGAACCTGTCCATGAACTTTGTTGCTAGCTGCCATAATCCACATTATGAAGTCGGAGTCTATTAGGCATTCCAAGTCTAGCAAAGGAAAAGACAACTTGGGTTTGTACTTTCAAACAGGGGCAGTAAATATGCACCAGTGTTTTTCTAAATAAGAGATAGTAGACAATTTGGTAAAGAAACAGAGTTATGATGCCAAAAAGCACATACTCATTACAATAAACTTGTCACTGAGACATAGTGCACATGCAGGCTGAGGAAGAGGATGAATGGAGAATGACAGTACCTGTTTTTCTTTCCTTGGAGCTCCTCATTCTGAGACTGACACCAGTCAGCAGGAAAAACAGATAAATCTTGAGAGAGTGGGGGAGGCACATAGGTTTTATCAGCTTTCAAACTCTCAAAGCAAGGCCTTCTGAAGGCAAAATTGGCTGTACAGCAGTGGTCCACAGCAGGATTGATAGTTCGATTTTCATTTATTCCACATAATTCTCCAAGAACTAAATCTGCCTTTTACCAAGGAGATTGGAAATTGGGCATTATTTTAAAACTTGAATAGCATTTCACAAGTTACAATTCAATAAATAGTTATAAGATTACTGTTAACCTTATCCAGAAAAAATATGTGTTTGTACCACTACACTACATACAAGAAAGCTAAAGGCTGGAGTTCTAATCAGCAGTATGACAAAAGTTTAAACTAGAGCAATTTTGAATGCTTATATATGCATTTTTAATTGTGAGCAGAGAGTTGTAAACAGCCAACTCAAAGTGGCAACTAATACTGTGGTTCTTGTATCTCTTGTCCAGAAGACACGGGGCGGGAAAGGACAGTTTTCTTACAGAAGTCACCCTCTTGGGGCAAGAGGAATTGTAGCATTACTTAAAATCATACAGCATCAAGGCTGGGGTGCAGCTCAGTGTAGGGAGCTTGACTCATGTGCCCAGGACCTAACCACAACCACAACAAATAGAGTAATGTGAAGATTTTCTACATCATTCTGAAACAACATTGAGATTCCAAAAATAGTTTGTCCTAACCAGTCACTTCTAACATGAACAGGGAAAAGGGATAATTTGGAGAATCTTTGAAAAATATTTTTTTTGGTGGAACCGGGGATTGAACTCAGGCCCTTGCACTTGCCGGGCATGTGCTTATCCTACTGAGCTATCTCCCTGGTTCCAAAAAATAAATTCTTTAGCTTCTTAAGATTTTCACATGTAAGAGGCATCCATATAGCTCAGTGAACTAAAGTGCTTGCTTAGTGTCTGCTCAGTGACTAGGGTCCAATTTCCGGCATGCTGTGCTGGCCCTGCCGCTGAGTGCGGTGGTGTACACCTGTAATCCCAGTGCTTGGGAGGCTGCAAACAGGAGGATCACTAAATAAAAAAAATAATATGTGAGTCAAGGAAAACATGACCCCTTTACATGACAAAGATGAAAACAATGAAGAAATGGGGGCAGATAAATTAACAAGTAGAAATACTTTTTCTTTCTTTTTTAATTCTGTGCTCACTATGATGGTTGGCATTGTGTCAACTTGAGAAGCTTAGAAGTTTAGCTTTGCAGGAGGCGAGGGTACTCACTTTGTAAACATCCTCATGCTTTACATGAGGAGGAAGAGGGCACTAAAACAGTGTGAGTGCTACACCGCTCAGGGCAGGCGTAGCCAGATTACAATATAAGGAAGGAAAAGAGGCTGGCTCTCCCCTTTTGTTCTTGTTGCTTTTGCTGTCTTCTGCTGCCTTGAACTGTTGTCCCTGTGCCTTGTGCCACCCTGCCTTGGTGTCAGCTTCTTATGGACTGAAATCTCCACAAACTGTGAGTTAAATAAACCTTTTCTTCTTTAGTTTTGGGTGTGTGAATTTTGTCTCAGCAATGAGAGAAAAGTAACTAAGACAATTTGGTACTAGAGATGTAGAGTTATTGCTGTGAATATACCTGACCATGTGTTCAAGAGCCTTTGAGAATGGCTTGTGAAAAGAGTTTGGAAAGGTTCAGAGATATCACTTGAAATAACAGAGTCAGAACACCTTAGGCAGTTCTGTATAGGACATTCTGATCAAAGCTCAGAAGACCAGAAGGCTAAGAGAAATCCTGCAGATAAACACCAAGCTCAGGGGATTTCTACTAGGAAGAAACACTACACTGGTTGTTGGACTCCAGGCAATGTGTGTTATGGCTTGGAAAAAAGTTTGTCTCTATTTGGCTCATGTCTAGAGACTTTGCCTGAGACTAAGATTAAAAGTAGTAGACCAATTGGCAGAAGAAATTTCAAGGCAGTGAATGTAGAGATTGTGGCATAGTTGCTGTAGGGAGCTTTCAGCCAGATTTATGTACAGAATCAAGAGCAAAGAGCTAAGTAGGATGATTTAAAACATGGTGAATTTGGCCAAAAGGGAAGCTCTAGTAAAGCTATAGACTATAAAGATAGAGGTGAGATCTTCATTGCTGAGAAGAAACAAGAGAATAGAATCATGGGCTGAGGGTATCACAAGAAGCAGCAAGTTTCCACCCTTAAAACTGCAAAAATGAAAGACTTTGAGGAGAAAGCCACCAAGCACCATGTTCCAGAATGACAGCAGCATAGAGAATTTGTTCCTCAGAGCTGGATTAAAAGTACCCAGTGACCCAGGCACTTCACCCCTATAGATAAGAGAGAGAAAAGTAACTAAGATACTCACCAAATCATCAACACAGGCAAACTCATCACTTAGTGTGCAGCAGGTAATCAGAGCTGTCACCATGTCATTGCCAAGAGAGATCAGTTCTTCAGTAGAAAGCTGGGGGGCTATCTTTGTGAGCTTAATAAAGTAGCTAAAAGAACACATGTATATTTATTTCTGAACAGAAGTAAATACCATTTGCCCTTGAAATGCTACTAAAACCCAAGCCCTTCACTGCTAGATAGATGCAAAGTGAACTTCTGCTCTCACAGATAACAGCAAAATGTCTCTTTACTCTGTTCTCTGGCACCCTGTCTTCTACATCTGTATAGTTTTGCTTCCTTCCTAGCATCATGGATATATCTTAAACCTTTAGATTTCCTTACCTGTGGGTATAGGAGCTCTTGGCAGCAAATATCTTGGGTAGTAAGAAATCTCCTGCTTAAAATTCTTTATGGGGTTAGTAGATATTTTAAAGAGAAAATTTGGTAAATGCATATTGAGAATGAGATGAAAGAAACTAGAAGCTGATTTCAAATTTTCAACTAACAAGCATGGTTGCAGAATTATAGAAAACATATTTTTAAAATTGTGCTTTGTTTTAAATGGAAGATGTTTAGTTTTGATAAATACCAACTACAATGATAATTTATTAAGAAAATCTGAGTTAACTGCATATTATTCATGAATGCTCACAAGAACACTAAAGGAATAAAAAAAATGTAGTGCTAAGCAAATCTAGAATTATTTCTACAAACAATTAAAATGGGTCAAAATCCTTGGCAAACCATCTCCTTCCCGGGAAACTATTGCAACCTGAACTTTGCCCTGCCCCGCTCCAAAGCAGGGCAAAATGCATGGATCTTGGTCTGGAAATGAGAAAGCCAAGCTCAAACAGAAATTCTCAGAGCAGAGAATGGGTTTGGAATCTAGTATTCCCTTCATTTCTATCCTCATGTCTGTGAAAAACTTGTGTGACAGCTTAGTGTGTTTTCCTGACTACTGTGTTTTATTCCCTGCCAGGGTTTATGACTTGGCTATAACTGAAAGAATAATCCAGCTTTTTTTTTTCTTTTGGTTTTACACCTCGGGGAATTTTTACACTAGGTCCTCCACTTGTGGAATCAACCTACTGGTATTTCAAGCCATCCTGTCCCAAATTTTGGAAATGTTCACATTCTTGTTGTACCATTTGGAGGCTTTTCCCAGTTGTCACATTGAATTTGATTTCCTGAAAATTAAAAACAATCATAGTTACATGTCAAAGTCTAATTTCTCATCATTTTGTACTTCTTTTTGCAAATATAATTCAAAATTTATGTTGACAATGACTACATTTGATTTTTATCTTGAAGTGACAGAGAGTTGATGCCATTAAGTAAAGAAAATTGGCCTTGTGAAAATAAATGACTTTTCTACAATGACTCAGCTAGTAATTATTGCCACAAAACATTTTTAGTCGTATTTGTTTTTATCTTCTAATTATTTAGATTTGGAACTTCAAGCTTTCGATAGTTTTCTTCCAATACTTGACAGCCCCACTTCCACATGACATTGAGTCGAACTTCTACTGGTAGCCACCAGTGTGAACTACACCATGAAACTGGATGCAGAGGGACCGATTGTTCCTCCTGGGAAGAGTGTTTTCAGCATCATGGTTCATTTCAGGATCACAGCAGACTGCATCAGCTAAACTGATGATGTTGCTCTGAATCCAAACTAGACTCAGATTGATTAATCACATTTTTCTTGGAGTAAAAGCTGCAAAGTCTGGAGCAAAACTTCAATATACATTTTAAGTATTTCATTGTTGTTCCTTTTCAAAGTTCTGAATTATGATGGTCAAACCTACCATATGATGGTAACAATCAGTCAGTGTCTCTCGGTCACAGCAATCTGCCAAAAGATCCTTGTATACCCCAGCAATTCTCAAAAGTTCTGGTGTGGACAAGTCTGAATGGCTCCTTGAGTATTCATAAAGAAACCTGACATGTGTGAGATATTATATATATTAAAACTTAGAGAAAAAACAAGTCACCCAACTCCACAGATGCAAAATTGTCTGTTGTCAAAAGTCAACTTCTTCCTCTGGTTTGGTCAGAGGCTCTTTGAGGAGCCAATTTCACCGCAGAATATCATCTTATAAAAGTTCCCTTGTTTTGTTTTAGACATTTTTTAGTTGAGAGAGTAGCATTAATAAAACAATATGCATAATGCATAAGAAATAGTACATGTTGCCACCAGTAATTTAAAAAAGAAATCATTGACTACCATTTTTATGAAGAATGCATCCAGACTTCTGCTTCAGAATTGTGGCTAGGTGGCTTCCTCCTAGCTCTCAGTCTAGCATGGCAGAGGTAAAGCACAGCCTCTGACCACCCTGGCACCTGGGCACACCTCATGCGAGCTTCAGCTCTGAATCTTTGGCAGTGATTTCCACAGCCTGGTCAGAAGTGTTGCACCTTTGGTGGTTGTAGGGCAGGAAGGAAAATAAGGCTACCAGTTATTAAGCCTGGTAGAGGCTACATACCAAAGCACTATTTTATGCCCTTCTGCTACAGGCTGAGAATCCCCATTCTGAAAACCTGAAATCAGAAATGTTCCAAAATCCAATACATTTTGGGCATGGACAGGATTCCACAGTGGAAAACTCTACCTCTGATTTATATAACAAGTTATACTCAACATGCAAGTGAACAAAATTCTTGTATAAAATCCTTCAGGTTATGTGTGTCAGGTATATATAAAATATAAATGAATTTAGTGTTCACTTAGATCCCCATTCTCAAGATAGCTCATCCTCAAGATGGCTCAGTATTAAGATAGCATATTCTTTTAACATTTAATCTTACAAGAAAAGTCAGAAGTTTCTAGCACTTCTGGTCCCCAGCCTGTCAGATAAGAGACAGCTAACCTGCATTAATAAAAGGTGAAAGATATGACCAAGGTGCCATGAGAGGCCTACTGCACATTTATAAGAAGCTAATCTCCTCTTAAAAGAGAGCTGTCTTCCCAAAGTACCTTAGCAATACAGCTGAGAGTATTCATAACAGAATCTTATCTGGCCACACAAAATAAGTAAATAACCTCAAAGTTTTATGAGAACATGACCTCAAACAAGCTTTTCATAGCCAAGCAGGCCTTTTCCTCATCCCCTCTCACTTTGACCTAATCTGTGTCCTAATATAACTTCTCCAGCCTCCTACTGTCTGTTCAGCTCCTGTGGGGGATGCACACCCACCACTAAGGCAGTGGGGCCTCACCACCAGAGTCAGAACTCCTCTTAGCATCTGCTGTGATCCATGGGGGTGGTGGGCAGGGAACCCCTAAAAAATTTCTAAAAATGTTCCAAACACAAAACCCTGGGAACCTATTCTGGGATGGAAATCCTTTGTGCTTTGGGCTCAGATTTGAGCATCATCTTAGGACCGGTTTGGACTCATAGCTCTCAGTCCCTGCCCTTCCATCCCATGTGTCCTTGAGTGCTGTGCTTCCAATGTCAGTAACGCTTAGGTGCATGAAGAGGAGGAGGAAGAGAATGACAGAAATGAGAATTGCTTCCACTTACAGAGCTAATGTTAGATAAATTTTAGTCATTCTCCATAGCTCAGAAAAAGCAACATAGCAATAACAAGATCAGGAGCGTGGAGCCAGACTGGCTGTGTCATGTGTTAGCTGTGTAACTTCGGGCAAATTTCTTAGCCTCTCTGTGCCTACTTCACCATCTGTAAGCGAGAATGATAAAGGTATACTAACTTCAGTGGGACTTTAGAAAACCCACTTGGCTAGTCGATGAAAATTTAATAAATATGGAATAAAAAGTAGCTGTTTACTCAACCCAAACCTGTGTCTTCAACCCACAACTCCTGCAGAGCTCCAGGGTTATGATATAATTGTCTCATGACAGTTACTATGAAAGTAGAGTAAGTCAAGGTTCTCAGATCTGAAACGTGTGATTCCCCCACAAAGCCTGCATCTACACACGGGCACTCCAACTCATTGGATGGGAAAACCCCACACAGTGATGTAAGCTCCAAATGGGGAGGCGCTCCAAGTGAAGTTTCTAAAACATAGCAATGATTTGTTCTTTCTGTTCTGCAGTAAAAATACTTCAAAGGCATCCAATTACTTAGGATGCTTGTGGATCTGGTTCCATCCACCTCTCAGTACCACATATCTGTTGGTGCTTATATGTACCTTCTCTGAACTGGTCTGGAGGAGTCTCTGCCTGCTCTGAGAAGACAGCAAAAGTTTGTATGGCTCTGCTTTGAAAAGTCATCCCTAGATATGGCCTACCCTCGGCCATTGACAGTGACAATAGGCCTGAAATTGAACAGAGATGATTAAATAAAAACTACATAAAATCTACAGGCCACAGGCTCTTAAAAGTTTAGAAAAATGTAACCCTACATGAACAGCTTGTAACTAGCTCCATAAAAGAGGGGGAAATGTAATAGAAAATGACCCCTACACACACACACCCAGCCAACAGAGTTCAGTTAGTTCTCCAGGTAGCAGTTCCTAGGACTTCTATTTCTTAGGAAAAGCTGGTCACTGTGATGCATGGTTGATCATTATGATGCATATTATCAGAAAGAATCAAAGTCAATCAAGTACTCTACCTCTATAAACCACACCCCCTTGGTAGACCCCATAAAAACCTTTCTCCCTGAGCTTTTGAGGCCTGAAACTTTATAAGGATTGATTCCTTGTCAGTGCTGCCAACATTAAATAAATCTGCCTGCAAATCCTGGATGTCATCCTGCCTCCAAATCCTGTATGTGTAGCAGTAGGTCCGTACACATACATCTTCTGCTTCACAGAGAAGAGAGGTCCAGACCAGCAGCTATACCAACAGCTGCCTTGGCTAGACCTTCTGTGATCAAACCTCACTGCAGTTTTCTACTCTGAACCTCCAACAAGTCACTCAACTTTTTATATCTCAGTTTACTCATCTCAGAAGTAGGGAGAAATGGTACTGATTCTAGGTGAAAGTTGGGACAATTGAGGTAAATAATCCTGTGTAAAATATTTGGCGTATTGCCCAGCACATATCAATAAATGCTAGCCATTTGTTAGTGATGTTAGTGATGGTGCTATATCAGTATAGCATAGCAATGTTATTGGTAAAATTATGGGAAAAAACCCAAAATGGTTAGGATAGATATATAGCTACATTCTCTTAATTCAAGGAATAGAGGGATTTGTTCTAATAGTGTTTGTAAATAGGCTATCACGTCTGCATCTTGTACAACAAATAACCACTAGGAAGACAGTATACAATGTGTTAATTATTGAAACTGTCCTACCAATTTGATTTGAAACTGTCTCATTGCTATTTATTTCTCAATAAAATCATGAAAAAATTAAAAAATAAAATTATGTGAATATAACTGTAATTTTCAAAATTGTATGACACTCAATGAACTAAGTGGTTGCTTATGGTATTGTCCAAAACTAGCCAAAGTGGAGCAGATCTTACAAGGTTTTTCTGTCTTATCCATGCCAACAGGCAGTTATATTACCTGGCAAAGAAGTCATCTGGGTCAGTGTCTCTCTCTTGGCACATATGTTCACTGCCAGTAAATTTTGCTTCAGTTGGAGACACATTCATTGGTCTGTCATCTTTATTTGAGTTAATTATGCAGTCTTCACGTTCTGGTATTTTCTTCTCACAGCACTCTTTGATTTTACTGGAGATAGAATCTTGTTTTGAACAAATATGGCTCATAACTTGGCTCTGTACCAAATAAGAATGAGACATGACTTAATTTCCAAAGTTTCTTTAGGACTGCATCCCCCCCTAATGGAATGGTTGTGTGAAAAACCAGTCATGAGCACAACACTGGGAATAGCCTTATCAGATGATCTGATACATGATGTTCATTTAACTTTTGTATTCATGTAATAAACATGAATTTTTTTTTGTGGTACCAGAGATTGAACTCAGGACTCTGCACTTGCCAGGCAGGTGCTTATTTTACTGAGCTATCTCCCTGGCCCCTGAAGTTTTACATTAGCACAAGCTTTTGTTTCAGGATATAAAGTCATATGATTGTAAAAAATAAGCTCTGTTACCAATTCACATTTATTAGGACTGAACTGGAGAGCGGGGATACAGAGGAAGGACCATTTTGTGTTTTATATACAGAATAGTTGGGATAGATGTAAGGCTGCTTTCACTTGGTTCAGGAAAGGAAGGATTTGTAGTAGTAGTGTTTGGATGGGATGTCCTGGCTGCTTCCTGTGCTGTGGATGACCGCTGAAAAGATAACAATGTGCAATGTATTAATTATTGAGAATGCCCTATTAATCAGCTTGGAAAGTGTCTCATTGATATTTGTTTCTCAATAAAATAAAAAATACACATTTATTAAGTATTAAACTTTTAAATACTTTACTCCTATTCCTCTGATATCTTGGCATCTTACATTTTAAATAGTACTGCTTTCCCAAATGAATTCACCTATGCTTTCAGTGGTGACTGTCAGAGACAAGTCAGTATAGTCTATAGACTTGGTCTTCATTTGCGGGCTGAAATTCTATTGTCACACACATAGAAAAAAAAATTCAATAAACATTTGATAAAGGAATGGAAAAATGGAACTCAAATAAACTACCACAGTAAACACCATATACATCTTCTCAAATAAAGGATGCTTTTCTACTCATGATATCATCTTCCTAGTGGTGCAATGAATTTGTATTTCTTCCTACAGAAAATGTTATGCTGTCCTCTGTCTCTATACCTTCTCCTGATTCAGGACTCTTCATAAAGTTTGAGAATTAAGGGGAGTTTGGGGTTACCACACTTACACACTAACTGGATAATTAAAAAAAAACTGGTCCAGTCCCTAGTCCCCTTTCCAAACGTTCCAGAATGAGGCTGCATGCTCTTTTCACTCTGTTCCAGCCTTCATTGCTGTTTCTGACCTCCCTGACTCAGCCTGCTCCCACTGGAATCACTCCGTGGTTTCAGAGAGAAGAATGGGGCAAAGCTGAGGGCTGAGTTGAGAAAGAGTGGGGATCGGCACCAATGTCCTGCCGGCCACAGAGCCAGCCTGTAAACGCTCCCAATTCTCCTCAGTTTATTGCTACTCTAGGGAGAGCCTATTTTACAGTCTCAGAGGCTTCACTTTAATTTAGAAAGAAGGAAATTTGAGACATAATATCACTCCTTAATCTCACACCCAAATTTACAGACATTTCAATTACACTCTAATTTTACAATTTAACATTATAAAATGCTTGTTTCCATAAAAAGCAAAACACTACAAAAATAAATTATGAATAAATTTCCTTTAACAGGGGTACAGTTAGGAATAAAATAATTCTTTGACATCTGTTATCTACTGCTTGAAATAAAATAAATATACCACAATAGGTAAAATTCAAATATTTAATTGGAATGTTATCACCCTCCTAGTTCCAAAAACAGTTAAAGCATTCAAAAGTCGCTATGATCAAGCCTAATTTCAATTAAAAAAAATTCAAGATTTTCTAAATGAAATTGTATTATCTTTGATTGCATGGGGCAATTTACATTTTTCAAGATTATGTTACTAGGATATTACTGTAGAAAATTGCTTTAGTTACCAGAGGCCAGGGATGAAAACACTGGGTAGAAACTGCTGTCAGAACACAAAATTTCCATTTCACGAGAGGAATACATTTGAGAGATCAGGTGTATAACATGATGACTATAGCTAATAAAAATACTATGTACTTCAAAAGTTCTGACAAAGTAGATTTCAGTAAAGGACTCCCTTCACAAAAATTACAAGTATATGAAAAAATGCTCAGGTTAAGCAGATTGATTTGTCACTCCATAGTGTATACACATCAATATACCAGGTTTTTACACTATAAGTATGCATTTTTGAAAAAGAATCAAAGATACCAATATTATTTGAAAATATTTGGAAGACTGTACATAACAATCCTGATGAAATTAGAAACATAATGATAAGAGGTCATTCCTGGGCCAGCCAAATAGCTCAGCAGATTAAAGCACCTGCAAGCAGGTGCAGGGGCCCAACACCCCCCCCACCCCCCTACCCCCCCACCTGCTGTGCTGGCCCCACCCCCCGGGGCATGCTGAGAGGGCACTTGAGACTGGGGGTGGTGGTGCAGGCCTGTAATCCCAGCTCTTGGGAGACTGTAAACAGGCAGATCACTACGAGCCCAATCTAGTAGTGAGAGTCTGAACACCCTGTAGACCCGTCCCTAACATAAAAAAATTACTATGAATTATTACAAAGACAACAATATAGAATGTATTATTTTAACTGTCCTACTAACCTGTTTTGAAACTGTCTCATTGCTATCTCTTTCTCAATAACATTAATTAAAAAAAGAAGTTATTCCTGAGCTTTATTAATACTTTGTAACATCTCTATAAGGTTTGTGATATAAAAGCAACTTCAATTAAAAATAAATAAATTTTCAAAAATTATAAATCCATAAATTTTATGTTAAGATATTTAGTAATATACAGTCTCTTGAAAATAATATCATGTATGTTTTTAAAAAGATGTTTAAGGGTTTATTTGTTAAAATGTTACTTTTATTCTGTGTTATTTTAAGACACTATATTAACATTCTGATGTCATTATAATAAAGTAACCACATTAGGGCAACTCCAGAGTAACAAATAGTTGCCCTTCTTAAAAAAACAAAACAAAACAAAAATCTTCTGGAATTTACACGGAAGCATGAAAGGCCTAAAATAGCTAAAGCGATCATGAGCAAAAAGCAAAGCTGGAGCCGTGTCAATCCCTGACCTAAGCACACTACAGAGCTGTGTAACCCGAACACCGTGCAGCAGCATAAACAGACAAAAAGGGCAGAAAGCAATGGAACTGAGCAGAAGCAGGAGTAAGGCCACACACCCACAGCCAGTTGATTTCCCACAAAGGTACCAGAGCTTACTCTGTAGACAGCACAGCCTCCTCTGTAAAATGTGTGGGGAAACTGCACACCTTATCCAGATGAATGAAGCTGGACCCTTGCCTCTGACTCATCACAAAAATCAACTCAAAATAGATGAACAAAGACTTATGTCTAACACTGAAATTATGAAACCTCTAGAAAAAATAGAAAACTTCAATACTTTAGCATAGGAAATGATTTTTCAGATAATATTCCAATAGCACAAGCTACAAACAAAAAACCCCAGACAAGTGGCATTATATCAAACTAAGAAATGTCAGCAAAAGAAAGAACCCAAAGAGTGATACGTAGATCATATAAAGAAATCAAAACTTCAACTGCAAACCTCAAATAATCCTATTTGGAATTTTTTTTTTTTTTTTTTTTTTTTTTGGTACTGAGGATTGAAACGCAGGACCTTGTGCTTGCCCAGGGAGGCACTTACGCCACTAGCCACTGAGCCATCTCCCCAGCCCTATTTGAAAATAAGCAATCTACCTACACATTCCTCAAAAGAAGAAATAAAAATGGCCCACCTTGTGAGCCACAGGGAAAATGCAAATCAAAATCACAATGAGGTATCATCTCAGTTGTGTTCTAAAAAGCAAAAAAAATCAAACCAAACACTGTAAAAATGTAAAGAAAAAAAGAACTTTTTTTTTTTTTTTTTTTTGTATCAGAACTCAAATTCAGGACCTTGCGCTTGCCAGGCAGGTGCTTGGCTGAGATAGTCCTGGTGAGAAAGGAGAATTTTTGTGCACTTCTGGTAGGACTGTGAATTGGTAAAGCCATTATAGAGAATAGTACAAAGACTCCAAAAAAATTAAAAATAATTGGTCTACTACATGATCTAGTTGTGCCTCTTTGGGGTATATATCTAAAATAAGTGAAATTAGCTTATCAAAGAGCTACTTGCACTACATTTTCATTTTCAATAGCCAAGACTGGGAATCAACCAAGGTACCTATCCATAGCCATAGAAAATGGAGTATATTTACAAAATAAAGGACTGGGATAGAAGGAGGTTAAGTAATTATTGTGGTGGATTGATAGTTGATGTCAAATTGAAACATCAGCTAAACTGAATCTGCATAGTGCTGGCTATCGATGGCCCACCTAAAGATTCTTACCAAGAACAAAAAAAGGAGAACTGGAGAGGAAGTGGGGCTATTGGTTCTCCTGAAGGAGCTGGTCATGCTGGCTTTCTTGATCTGAACTCTGACAAGCTTGGGATCTTGTCCCTGAGGGGAAACTGTGGTCCTTACTATGAACATCACTTCCTGGCTTTGGAGGGGAAGATAGTGCACTGTTTAATCTGCTCTCTGTGCAGATCCATTAAAGAGATTCACATGAGACATTGTCATGGGCTCTGGTTGGACTCCCATGGGATATTGACATGTGCTGTAGGTCTTCAGGTGGACTTATGCAAGACATTGCCATGGGATCTGCACCCTCAGCTAGATTCTTTGGATCCTTAGTATGTGAACAGATTTCCTGCACTGTTTTGTATTTGATTCTTTGGGTGAGTACTATAAAATACTACTATAAATTATGTGCCCTTTATTAAATTGTTTCCCTTGCAAACCCTGTCTATAATAGTGACCAAAATAGGTTTGATCAGATATATAGTATTATTACATATTTGATCAGATATGTATTATGTTTGTGTTATAATATACATAATAGCATGCTGTGTATCACATAGATATGTACAATTAATATATGTTAATTGAAAAAATGAGTGCTAAAATCAGTATATCAGTAGGTTACTTGTTTTAGAGAGTATTTACCTGGTCACGAATGCACTGCAAAACATCTCCTGCACAGCACCCATGATACATGGAAGAAACATCTTCTAGGAGAGAGGTAAGTTCCTTAAATTCAATGTTGGGGAATTTTTTACTGAACACAGCAATGTTTCTGGAATGAGAGTTGAGAGGCACTGAAACAGTGTGATGAGCAGTACAAGAGGGTGCTCTGAGCTGAAGCAGGCTGACCCACTCCAGCAACGCTGGGTCATTAGTATTGCACAGATATCCTTATCAAATAGTTGGAGGTGGGCTGTAAGCTCCATACGATCACTCTGAAAATCTTGGGCTATTTTTATTTGACACAAACCCCCAGCATCCTATATCCAAGCAAAAAAAGATTGCAAAGAGATGGTGTTTTCCATAATTATTAAGCAAGACACTGTGTGAACATCACCACTTCCTGGTGTGAGCCTATGACAGGAACAGGCAACCCATCTCAGACTGACCAAAATATCTCAGAAGTAGCCCTTTTCTTTTTGGGGTTCTCCCCTCCCCAGTTTTGTTCTATCCTATCCTAATGAGCTGGTTCTGAGTTATCCTCATAGACACATCCACCTTGAGCCTCTGGGGAACTGGAAAAATACAACTTAAAGTTCAAGTATTTGATAATAATGGAACACAGACAAGAAAACAAAACCAGAGATAAGATACATATTATTATAAAACTCACATAGAGTTTAAGACTTTGGGTCCAAATTTCATAAGGGCCCCACAGACATATTTTTGATAAGAAGAAAATGCTTTTAAATATTGTGTAATGGGTATGGCCTGGAGGAGAAGGAAAAAAAGAAAATTCTGTTGAAACAAAGGCAAAATCTCACTATTCTCTTACTTTTAACTACATATCAACCAAACTTTTACAGAATTTTGATCAAAAACAGAAAATCTATGTGACTTTTATTTTAGTATACTTTTTTTTTCTTTTTCTTGCAGTACCAGGGATTGAACTCAGGACTTTGCATTTGACAAGCAGGCACTTATGCTGCTGAGCTATGTCCCCAGCCCAGCTACTTTTACTATACTTAGAAATTGAAAAATGTGTTTGTGTCACCTTAAAATGTACAGCCAGGGCCCTGATATCTGACTTGCACAGTGAGGACTGCATGGTGCTAGCCGGGCCCAGCAGGGTGTGATCTCCTGTCTTTGCTGCTGGCTCTGTCCCACAGGCAGGGCCTCTAGGGTCTTGCTAAGATCAACTGCCACCTTCCACTCTGGATCTCACTCAAGAAGAATCTCTTCCAATTGACAAAGAAAACAAAGCCTAAAGGGAGGCCCTGAAAATTAATGACTGTCTTATACTGGTTTTGGGTTAACTGAGTACTTAAATTAGCAGCTGGTTGCTACGGATTGGGAATCTGTGACTGTGGCAATATCATATACGGTAAAAGATCTTTGCTATAATTTTGTACTACATGAGGATCTAAAGGCCTCCTGTTCATTGGCTCATTTTCTCTTTAATGGAGCAAATCCAGTACGCACTTTTGCTTGAAAACAGTTGGCTTTCTGTTGTTCTTCACAGCAAGTTTTTGTCACCTCTTCAAAGCGAGCAGCAACGGTTAGAAGTGTAGGGGCAAAGACAAAGGAATTCCTTCTGGCAACTTCATATATGTATCTACAAAAAATTCAAAATGCTTTTTAAAGGAGACAAGCAGGAAAAGGGAACATACAAGAAAGAAATGGTAGAGAAGAAAAGGAGGAGGTGGAAAAGGGAAGGGAAAGAAAAGGACAAGAAAAGGGACTTTTAAAAATGAAAATAAGAGGAAGAAAGATTTCATATACTAGGAATGTTCGATGCAAGGTAGCATCACACAGGCCCCTTGAGGAACCTTGCAAAGGTCTTCATCATGGAGCTGCTACCTCCAAATAAGGGTAGTGATTATAGCTCTAATCCTGAGCACTGATCTAATCCTTTCATGTCCAAACAACAGTGGTCTATACACAGTCCATTCCAGATTCGAGGATCCAACTTCCTGTACTTATGTTTAAATAAGCTTGTGACAGCTTTCAAAGCAGTAAGCTTTCCAAAAAAAGTTTCTGCTTCTGCAATTAGTGAATCAAAAACAGATATCTTGAAATTTATCTAGTAATGTACTATTTACTTGAGACTTAAGAACAAAGTTGCAATTTCCCCTTGGGAAGAAGACATTCTTTCTTTTTATGTTTCCTAGCAAATAAGCCCTAAATATGCATCTCTATCATAGGGCTTATTGCATGAGAAGATACACATCACTAATTTTGAGGTCATGAAAGCAGAGTTTGAGTCAAAAGTGTTCCCCATCATGTGTTCAAAGAGGTGTGGCTTTTGAAAGGTGATTAGATCACACAGGTGGATTAACCCACTCATGATCTCACAATGGAGTGGACTATGAAAGGTAGGGCCTACCTGCAGTAGTACACAAGTACCATGCACTAACCAGTAATGCCACTGGAGTTCCAGGAGGGACCTTGCTGGACACAAGCATAGAGAGCACAGCTTCGAAGGGCCAATCTGGGCCTCACCTTGCTCTCTCTGGCATCTCCCTAGCTCTCCACTTCCTGGCTGCCATAAAGTGGTAGTTTTTTTTCCACCACTTCCTCCACCATCATGTTTCACATGGAGCCCGCTGCTGACTGTGACCCCTGAACCTCGAGCCAAATTAAATCGTTTCTTCTTTAATGTTCATCACATGATTGATGCCAGTGATGGAGAAATTGGTGAATGCAGTATCTCTCAATATCTATCTGCTCAACTCTGAACTCAGAAAACAACCTGTAGGGCCAGCTAGATAGCTCAGTGGATTAAAGCGCCTGCTTAGGCAGATGCAGGGACCAGATTCCATCCCGGGCATGCGGTGTCAGCCCCGCCCCCTGCGGTGCGCTGAGACGGTGAATGAGACTGGGCATGGTGGTACGTGCCTGTAATCCTAGCTCTTGGGAGGCTGAAAACAGGAGAATCACTATGAGTTCGATCTGTGTAATGAGACCCATAAACTCTGTACCAAAAAAAAAAAAAAAAAAAAAAAAAAAAAAAAAAAAGAAAAACAACATGTATATTGGACAAATTAATGAATCAATCAGCCTTGCTTTTGTCAGAAAATAATGTTCAATTCAACCATTTTTCTATTAAAATTAAACTTACTGATTTAAAAAAGAGTCTCTGGCATTTTTAATAGCCTCACATTTCTCTTCAGGATCCAGAGTAGGGAAAGGAGGCAGAAATCCTACATTGGCTTTCTTGTTATATAAGAAACAGAGTCTTCTTTTAAAGTCAACTTTACTACAGCAGTGTGAAAAGTTATACTTTTGAGGCAGCCCCTCCATGGAACATATCATTTCCTGTAACATATCATTCTGAACAACAGAGAGGAAAAGGATAATTTTTAGTCATGGTAAAGCTATTCAGCTTTCTGAGAAGGTACAAGGATGCAATAAATGATCAATAGCATCTTTTGCAAAAGAGATGGCAATTTCCCAACCATTACCAAAAACATCTTCACTCGTATCCTCAACAAACACCTCATACCCTGGAAAATTTTATCCCTCCGGGACCCATTATCTGTTCTTCTTTGATTGCTACTCCCATTTTCCTTCCGTTTTGTCTTTTGTCGTTTCCCAAGGTAACAAGCTCAGTGTGCTAATGTATTGGGAAAGGGTTTACTAATGTTGTTTAGTAGTCTGCAGACATAGTGATAGGGAAATAGCCCAGGAAAGAGGAGTAACCATAAGGTACATATTGAGGGAAGCCGCCAAGGATGCTGCCTCTCTATGTCCATATTTTTGTCTTTATACTATTAACCCTTTCATACCTAGTGATCCATTTTTGGAATGCCCATAATAATATAACATAATAAAAGATTTTTCTTCAAATTCTTGTTCCTTGAATTTTTCTAGGTGAGATATATGAATTTCATGTAAAAATTCAAAACAGTGCCACCTTTGGCATAAATGGGTGAATTTCCTCTTGGCCTGTTTTAATGGGAGACTGTGGCACATAAAGCAAATTTATATATGTTACAAGTACACACTCAAGTTCTCAAGCTCATCATAATGCAGAATTGCACTTCCTCTGAGGAAGGTAACTTGTCCTAAATATAAAAATTATGCAAAATTAAAATGATGTGCATAGGCATCTTCCTTTTTCATAATCCTATAAACCCAGAAATTCTCTCAGTATTGACAAATAATCTTGTATATATAGGAATTAGGATTGATTTACTTACAGCCAGTTGTGAACACTCTGGAAGAGTCTTGCCCTCCAAGCACTTATCTCTGTACTTCATCACATCTCTGATCAGCATTTCCATGTCATCAAATGTTGCTTCCTGGACATACTGAGCAAATGTAATGATGGCCCTACAATAGTCCCCACGGGCACATGGTAATTTATGGCAGAATTCCCACTGATGTCTAATAAAAAACTCACCTCTACAGCCACTTGCTGAGTTAAATTATCTAAGAACAAAGGTTCCAAATTGTGCATCTTCTTGCCAATTCAGTGGCATCCTGATTTTTATAATTAATGTATTTACTTTATTCAAGTACTTTTTATGTAATTAAATTATTTTTGGGACACATTAACATTTCTGCACTCTGTCAGGTAAGATTACAACAAATATCAACAAAAAGAATTGAGCAAAGAAGCCAGAAATATACATTTGGGAAAATATTACCTCTTTAACAAATGGTATGTTAGATACTTATAGATAAATTGAAAGTATATCACAACTCTTACTGTGCACAAAAATCAATTCAAAATAGAGTGAAACTTAGGCATAAGACATACAGTTTGGGCTGGGAAGGTAGCACAGTGGTCTAACGGCCTGCCTGGCAAGTGCAAGAATCCAGGTGTGATCCCTGGTACTGCATGCTGTGCTGGACCTGGAACCCTGGATGTGTCTGTGCTGGCCACCAAAACTGGGCATGGTGGCATATTCCTGTAATTTCAAAGCTAGGGAGGCTGAGAAAGGAGGATGACTATGAGTCTGAATTGCGTAGTGAGACCCTGTATTAAAGAAGAAGGAAAGAAAGAAAGAAGAAAGAAAGAAAGAAAGAAAGAAAGAAAGAAAGAAAGAAAGAGAGAAAAAATTTCATGTCTTTTTAAAGAAAGACATGAAATTTTGAGACTGCTAGAAAAATATAAGCGAAACACTAGTTGCCATAAACACAGGCAAAGAGTTCCTCTGTAGAACTGCAATAGAGCAGAAAATAATAGCAAGAATCAATAAATGGAACTGCACCAAATTTCAAAGTTTCTGTATAAGAGAAACAACTAACAAAGTAATGAGACAGCCCACAAGGTGTGCTGAAAGTGGGGGGGAATCTTTTCCATCTAAGTTTTCAATAGAGGATTAATATCTGTTTATTCTATTTTAAAGAGTAAAAACAAATAGCAGAAACAAGGACAGAAAAAGTAACAAGTGACAGCACAAATGGTACAGAATTTCAAAACAAGAATAAAAATTCAACAAGGATTGTTGTATCACATGTTTCATAGCTAAATCTATTATTTAGATTAATAAACATAAGCATGCATAATTGGTCAAATACTTAAATGTTAATGGTTACTCAGTAAACAAATTTTTTGTCCTTTTTTACTTTATATTTTTAGAAATTTATTTTAAAGAGAGTACACTAATTGATAAGACATTAGAAATGGAACACATTTAAAAGAACAAGATGAGAGGTGTTCAACCGTAGTATTTGTATTGCACTTTGCTGTCTTCGATGTACTTGCTTAGATTATAGATGATAGCATATAGGGTTAGTCAAAGTAAAAATGTTACACATTAACTGCTACTTTCAAAGAACTGATGGCAATGAAAACTACAATCATGTAAGATTAATATCTAGACTATATAAAGAACACTGAATAATCAAATAGTCCAATCAATGAATGGGCAAATGAAACACATAGATGCTTCTTAAAAGAAGTAAAAATGAAAAATAAATATATTTTCAAAAATTCAGTGTTTTTAGTCATGAAGAAAATGTAAATCAAAAGTACCTTGAGAAATCATCTCACCCCAGTTAGAATTGCTTTAATAAAAAAATACAAAAAATAATGGATGCTGGGAAAGAAAGATTTGCCCACTACTGATGAGAACATAAACTAGTACAGCCACTCTGAAAATCAGTGTAGAGGTTCCTCAAAATAAAAAAGTAGACTCATCTATGCTACTTCTTGTGTAAATCTATATAAAATCAGCTTACTCTGGAGACATCTGCATAGTCACATTCATCTTGATACAATTCATAATAACCAAGATTTGGAACCAGATAGGTGCCTGTTATGGCTTATATCTAGATGTCGCCCCAAAACCTTATACATTCACAAATGCACTTTTCAGAAGTGGTTTGATCTAGGGTATGTGAATATGGATTAAGGATGTGTGGTACTAAATTAGTTCACTGACTGGTGCTGCACTGCATGTGCAACGTCTACCCTGAGCGTGGGAGACAACAACCATCACACTGGTATCCTGGATGGGATAAAAGGGAAAGGGAAGTTCAATGCTGCTGCTGTCTTGCTGCCTGCTAACTGCCCTCCCATGGACTGTTTCTTCCCTGCCACACCCTCTGCCATGCCGCTCTGCGTTGGAGCCAGCCAACTATGGACTGCAACATCTCCAAGCTGTGATCAAAAATAAACTTCTCCTTATTTAATTCTTTAACAGTTATTTTGTCCCAGTAATGAGAAAAATAACTAAGACAGTATCCATCAGTACATAAACAAATAAAGGAAATGTACACCAAGGAGTGTTACTGAGCCACAAAAAAAGAATTTTGTCATTTGTAGAAAAATGAACATATCCAGAGATCATTGTGTTAAGCAACACAAGCTAAAGGCAAGTACTTCATGTTATCTATGATATGAGGACTCTAGAAAGGTGATGTGATTATAGATGGGAAGCTATTGATAGACCAGACGATGGAAATAAATGGGAGTACACAGAAGCGTACTGGGGATGGATATGACCAAAATATATGCATTGAAGCCCAATTTTTATTAAATAAATAGGCTAATAAGAATGTTTTAAAAGAGCAAAATAGAGAAGGAAAAAACAGAGAAGGAAAAGCATTGTATAGATATATTTGTTGATATTAAAAATATAAAATAATTGTTGTATAAAAATACTGAAAAATGCATACATGCAAAATGAATCTAGCACAACTCACATGGATGCAAGGTTCTCATCTATAAATTTCCGGCTAACATTAATGTTATCTGAAAAGCAAGTATACTCAGATTATTACATATTTTGGTATTTTAACATTTTTTCCAAATAAATAGATATACAAGATGTTTAACCATACAAAGTATAAAATAAAGCATTATAAAGTAAATTACTACATTTAATAAGGAAGATACAAGTCATATGAGCCAAATGTGACACTGCAATCACTAATTATGCATTTAAGAAGCATTCACTAAGTTGAATTGATGTGAATTACTCTACTGATACAGTATCAATACAAATGTCAAATACCAACACCATCTCCTTGCCCAGTGACTTGCCACTTACAATTTGGACTCTAGTAATATAAGGATTACTGATAAATGATGTAATTCCAGGACAAGACAGTGCAGTTTATAGGGCTAATCAGACACAGACTCTCCTAAAATCACAGATTCTTTCCGAATGAGCATATAGTGACCAAAGAACACTTCTGATTTTCCACATGGACTTCAGTTATGGAGTCTTCATGTCTTGTGAAGTATGGTGAACACCAGGAGGCAATGAACAGTGATGAAGAAAGACCTCCCTGCTAGACCTCTGAGTTCTAAGTGCCCACAGTAGACAGGACTTTTACATATGACTAAACTCAAAACTTGGAAAGTGTTTAAGTACATCACAGGGATTCTTTGTAATGCCCAGATAAAGACTCGGAAAAGGATTATAGGAGAAGTGCCTAGGAGTTAAGTCTGAGAAATGTACAAGAGTTGTATGTGTTGGTGTACACATGTACTCTAAGCAGTCTGGGAGCCTGAAGTAGAAGTTCAAATCCAGATTGGGCAACTTAGTGACTTGGTGAGATTTTTTTTTCAAAGTTTTATTGATAAACAGATAGCAATGAGACAGTTTCAAATCTAATTGGAAGTACAGTTTCAACAAATAATACACAGCATATATTCTTCTCAGTGGTTAATTGCTGTACAAGAAGTGGACTTGTGATCCTATTTACAAACACCATTAGAACAAATCATTCTATT